ACTGATTTCTTATAAAGTATTCGATTACAGACAGTACATATAAAATAAGGGCCCTCTCTTATTTTCCTCTTAAATTGGTTAATACACAATTCAACCAATCTGGCTTTCACTAATTTCTCATTGGGTCGGGAAAGTAATTCTTTCTTCTTTCCAGCATCCATAGTTGAATATTTTCTTTAATGTCTTCTAGAAACCTTTTTTTGGCAACAGGTTCCATGCTGTCATACATATTTTTTTTCTGTGTTTTCTCATGATGTGTTTCCTTTCAATTTCAGTAATTTTAGATGAACAGCAGATAAATTATATATCATATTCCTTAGTCTGACATTCCTGTTTATTTTGAATAATATTATTAATTTCCTCTACTAGATTATCCACAAAGAGTAAATACTCACAGAAAACCTCTGCCCAGAACCACAGGCCTCTCTACCAAAAGAATACTTTGTTTAAGTTTGATACTTTATTTGCAAAATAATTAACATCGAAGGCATCAGTATATACACATTAGCACAACTGCCAAAATTTGTTTTAGCCAGAAACTTGTTTATTTTTTTCAATCATTAGTAATCATGATGTTATCCCACTCATTGATCTGTATGGCCTTGTACAAATGTATGAAACATGTTTCTCAGTTATTTTGTTCATGGGATGCTCAAGTTCAGATTAAGTCTCCAATGATTATTGTTAGGGCCACAGCTTTGCCAAGCAGCTGGGCTAAAAAAGATTAAACAGTTGGAAATACAGAAAACAATACTGAATACACCAATTGGCAACAGGTTCCATGTTGTCATACATATGTTTTTTCTGTGTTTTCTCATGATGTGTTTCCTTTCAATTTTAGTAATTTGACATGAACAGCAAATAAATTGTATATCACATTCCATAGTCAGTGACATTCCTGTCTATTTTGAATAATATTAATTTACTCTACTAGATTATCCACACCACGAATGTGTATTGTCTGTTTCATTGCAGGTGAATGACTGTCTTCATATGTCAGAAGAGAAAACAATTGCTTAACTTTTGTATTTTGTTGATAAATACAAGCTATACAGTAACTTGAAATCCACATTAAAAATCCTGTTTTCCCAGTGGGGTTCCTTAAAATCAAGGTCTCTAAAGATATTCTGCTTTCAGTTAAATTACTTAATTCTCTTTGACTTACTTCATTAACGTGTACATTTATGTTAGTGCCAAAAATTGTAAAACTGTCAGTCAGGGTAGCTGATATTAAACAGTGCTTACTCTGCATTGTATTGTTAAGCTGAGATCCATTTTCAATAATTGCATCTAAAGTATTTGAGTTCTAGTAACTACAAGGTGAAATGATTTAGTAATGTAGAATAAAGAACTACTGCAAAACAGTGGTCTTTGTGACACTTGTGTTGACCTGATATCTCTTTAATACCTCTCTTACATTGTTGCTAATTGCCACATCATATTTTGTAATTTGTTAGCCTTTTAGTTCAAACAGATCAGTTGCTCCATTTAACAAATAGATTCCAAGTTGCTGTACATCTCTTCAGTTATAGATCACAGATGATGTCAATATGTGGTAAGAACAAAAAAGTGGAACATGAGGCACTGATGTTCTTACCACATTTTGACATCCTCTGTGATCTATTACTGAACAGACGCATGGCAATTTGGAATCTATTTGTTTTATATAATAAAGAATTAAAAAAAAGTTTTTAATGATGACATCATTTATACATCTCTCCTCCAGTAAATCATTAGTGAGAACCAATCAGAATATGTGCATAACTGAGCTTATTATATAAATAAACTTTGAAAGTGATGCACTAAGTTGTCTGTAAATGATATATCTAATAGACCACATCCCTCAAGAGTGACTTTTGCCATAAAAATCTCTAGCATGTGAGTCAAACACTTAAAAATGGCCATCATCAGTGCAGTAACTAATACTCACAACAATACATCCAACTGTTAAAATATATAACCTATATTGTTCTGATATCAATAACTCAAATGCTCTTTTCAGGCCCATACAGTATTGATATCCCTCAATGGTAGGCTCAACATGGACATTACCAAGGTGACTTTCACTATATTCTAGCTGGTGATCTTCCTCTCATACTGTAAGCATTGATGGTAAATCTGCTAGCAGTTAAAATGATTGTCTCGATAATTGTGACAAACTGCCATATAGTTTACTTCCAATATGCACTATTTGTTTAAATTCATTGGGTTTGCCTATTTCTTTCATATTGTGGTATATTAATGCACATAAACTCATTGCAACACATTGTTACCCAGCGTTTTGTCCAAATACAACATCTCCTTGACTTAATGTTGTTTTTATTGTTTTCTGGAATCCACAGGGTGCCTACAAGGAACAAGGTTTTCTCCATATCATTATAGAGCTTGTTCTTTGTACAATTGCCTCTGTGAATTACACCCTTGTACTCACTATATGGGAAATTACACAAAAAGAACCTTAAGTATTTGAGATATTTCTTTCTATGTTTATCTCTACATGAATTGTAGACATATCTCATTGAAGAGTAAACGTTTCTTGTTCTAAAAATTGGTTTCCTTCTCATTTCTTTGTACAAACCTGATTCTTGTTTTATATGAACCTTTGGTAAAGTTTCCGCACAGCCCCATACTATTGTAAAACAAATCTGTTTTTCCAATGAAAATGTATTGTTTTTGTCATTGTTTTCTCTGTTCAAGAACTGAATGCATAATGTAGGATGGGGCTATGCTTTTTTTCATGTTGCATTATTTTTAATAAGATCATGGAATTTCATTGACTTTGGTACGTTTTTACTTAAACGGCTCCGTACATAACTCTGCAGTTTTCTAATTTTCTTAGAGACACGTTTTAACATCCTCACTGGTACTCTGCTTGGTTCACGATCACGTTTATAGCCATGGCATTCACACACAACACGAGTACGATTACAATATACAGACTTTGCACAACGAGATCTGAATTGTTGTACTTTTATTGACACTGTAAAATCATTATGTTCATGTACATTGGTCATATTGATAACTTTTCTAGTATATCACAATCATCGAGAGTGTTCATCATGTCTTATACAAAGAACACACAACCCCATGTGGAGAGCAAACCAACATTCACGATCGCTTGTACAATAATAATACTGATTGTGTAAGAAATACCAAATCGTACTTTACTAGTATTGAACCCAATAAAACCAGAAACGGAAACAGGATATTTAACGGAAGAGTTAAGCTTAGATATTCAACCTTGCTATTCAAGTTTCTTACGTCAGTATCCTTATCCAATTCGCTGTCTTTAGCGCCATCTTCGAAGTTGTGTTCACGAACTTTCTTGATTTTTCCAGCAAATGAGGTGTTCATCTCAGCATCATAGTTCGTTGTTGAATCGGCTGTCACAGTTTTGCTAGTATTTTCGAAGTTTGAACTCACATATGGCTCATTTGTTTTCTCGTAAGAACTAGTGTAAACTTTGCACATTTGGCTAACTTTCAAGCTAGAGAGTCCGTGGACCGGCCCATTCCGAAAACGCTCGACATCATTTAGTGTGGGCCTACCACGATTAGCGTATGCAAACGTAAGTGAGATGAGCGCATGAGACAGGAATCTTTGCAGAGCGGACTTCGTAAAACACAGCATTTCGTAAACTGATTTATGTTAATTACGAAGAGCGAGCACATGAGAAGACAAGTGCTAGACTCTCATCCCCAGCTTCTGCGGTTTACGCAAAGAATGCCTGGGACCATGACCCCCCTTTTAGCGCCTAAGAAAGGCCTGCATTTTAAGACTCAGGCTTTCCTGCGGAAGCCCGAGTAAGCATCTCCAGAAATGTCCATCAGGATGGTACTTAAGACAAGCTTTAAGAAAAAAATCGATCAATCAGAAGAAATGGGTCGGTTGCTTCGCTCGTAAACAAAATTTAGGTACACCGTAGCTGTACTGTGATGTCTTTAAACGATACAATAGAGACGATTTTTTCGTTATTTACGATTTTTGAGGACTTTGCGTACTGAGGATCTCAAACAAGCCGGACGGAACGCCATATCAATAAGGTTCTGGGTGTCCTTGTAATTCGAAGGCGTAGAGTTGAAAAGAAATATTCTTCTTAATTTGGTTTCTTCAGCTTTGATGCATGCGTGTACGATTGTATTTAAAAATGATAAAAAATGACAATAACATCGAGAATACATTTACAATAGGAGTTAGAATCAGGAGGTACTACAAATATTAACTTATGGGATTTAAATTCAATGATGTATCTGCAGGGGAAGATTTTCTCGTATCTCTAAGGACTTGAGTATCCCTCTTCTTTCAAACTCGGGTTTTACAAGCACTAGTTCTATTTTTGCGACTTAAACCATGATTTTTGTGTATAATCATGATCAGGGAATTATGTAAAATATGGCAAACATAACTTGAAAGGTTAACAAGAATATAGAGCAATCTAAGGAATAATCCCGTTTGGCTTTCGGAAGGAAATGAATATTTTTTTTCCATGTCCTATTCATCAATCGAATACACCTTCTACAAACACATAACTTGTACTTTTTTGTGCGCAAAATCTAAAACTATCGTAAGCATTATGTTTATTTTCCACTTGGGGTAATGGACCAAATCGTTTGAATTGTTATGCATTAGCATCAAAATTGAAAATTCTTTGACCTTTCTATTATTAAGATCTCAGTAACCAAGGTAAGGTCCCTAATGCAGTCTTCAACAAGCAATTAGCATTTGCTATAGCTTGGATTTAGATTCCATAATTTTCACAATTTTCATTTGAATAAGATCTGATTTCTAAGATTTCTGATCTAAATACTGCTGATGCCGATTAGAAAGCTAGTTTTCCAAAGAGCCTGGAAGACTTCCAGCCTACTAGGATGCGTGACGGAAGAGAGAGAGAGCTGCGAAAGAGGTCATTAACACTTTATTTTCTCGTCCTGTTTCCAAAGTAACAAAATAATAAAGATCATGTGGTCTACACGTCTTAACAAGTCAAAAGCAGAAACCAATCTAGAGTAAGTAACTGTAAATCGAAAGTTTAAGAATATTATCGCTGTCCTGTAGAACCCGGAAGTATCGGTGGAAAAATGTCTCTACATGTCATGTGCCTCTCTCTACTATACGTTTACCCCTTCATACATTTCTTAACTGCTGAGCGGGATGTTGACTGCAGACTTTTACCCACTGATAAGGATATTTCCACGGAATTTCGCCTCCAAGCATCCGGAAAACGTGTGAAAATGGTTTATTTGAATTTGAAGATTGGAAACGGAAGCTACCATCCATTGGAGTTAGCGGACGAATTTCTTCCAGAAAGATGGGTTTGGGCAAAGTCAATCAAGGCACATATGCTTTCTCTGCCCGAAAATTATGATGTTTTATCACTGGGATTGTTAAAGTATCAGGTGACAAGTCTAGACGTGCATTTGGAGGATAAACCAACAGGATGTGTGGCGAGTTTGAACTCATCCAGACAAAACATGGCTATTGGAAAAATGCTGTTAGAATATGTAACCGTTGAGAAAAAAAACTCTAGTGATTTACAGTCACAAGTAGTCTGTGTGGAAATGATAAAGGTCATAAAGGGTGAAGATAGTAAATATCTTGAGTATCAGTGCTGTAGAATATCGCCTAACAATCTTGAATCTCATCAGGTCCTGTGTGATCAAACTGTTAGCAAAAGCCACTGGACAGAGCTGCTCGATACCATTCTTATTCTCATTGCTATTTTCATGGTTCTTTTTTTTCCGGCGTTTCCATTGGCACTGCCAGATTATTTATTTAGTCTTCAGCGAGAGTGTGACAAGGCCGAAGATCGCCCTACGGAAGACACAGGTCGACACGCTGATCGTTTGCATCACACAAGAAATGGATACGTTGAAATCAATCAGGATGATGAGGAGGACGATGGAATTGCCGTGGATGATGCCACTCCGTTGACTATTTCAACTCTTTTATCTCAAGTTGTTCAACGACTGCCCGACTCGAGGTTCTCGTTCAACCTTAAGTTAGCTTTTATGCTCGTCTTTCTTTGTCCACTTACTATCTACGTTCAGTTGGGGCTCACTTTAGCGTTAAACGAAAGACACGTGGATGAAACCTTAAGGAAAAAAGTAGACTGTGGTTTATTTAATTCCGTCCCATTCATTGCCGGTTCAATATGTGTGTATCTTTTGCTTGTTTTGTTTTTAAGACCGAAAGATTTATTACTATCAAATCAGATTACAAGGCTTTGTTTCTGCGGTAGAGCATCTAAGGTGCTTCGCGTTTCTTTACTAGATATCGAACGAAGCTCAGTGGGAGATGAAATACGTGTTCATTTGAACTTACTGAAATATGGAGTCTACAATTTGGTGTCGATTTTTAGAAATTGGTTTCTACGTAAGTTAAAAACGCTGTTTAGTACCTTCACGTGTTCGATAACAATGAGTAAGCGTAAAGTTTCCCGAATGAGGAGTGCACTTTGTGTTGTCTGGGTCACAGTCTCTTTTTTTCTTATACTACTTTTGGCCATTTTTAGTGAAGTATTCTTCATCTTCCTCTGTCTTGTTATGCAAGTTTTCTCTCTAGTTTTTTTGTCACCTTTCTATACCCTTTTTTTCATTGTTTCTTTAAAGACACGGCATAGACTGACCAGAGTTTTTGGCGAATACCGTGTTTTGAATGGGGTAACTGGAGTTTTTATAATGGTGTTTTTGTTCATATGCTCTAGTGTAATTTTACGTTGTACCACAACTTTTTTGACCTCTTCTTTTATATTTTTTACCAATACTGTAGCGTATACTACCATGGGAATCGCCCTAAACGCAGATAATGTAACGCCATATGCAGCTTTCGTCCTTGTAATTATTACAAACATTTATCTGTGTTACGCTAATTTTCAGATCAGATACAAAGAGGTCAAGGGGATGATATCAACATGCCTATGGGAATTACATAAGAATACCGGAAGCTTTCATTCCAACGTCACAATTCCGACCAGGCTTTATTGGTTTGTGTGCAGCAGAGTTTTGCCAGTTAAATCTGAAATTTGTCGCATGCTTCGCAACATGGCTTTTATTTTGATATTTTTGTTTTTAGTGGTATATTCAATTGCTTTTTACGGAAGTGAAAATAACGTTTCCGCTACTTTCTCCGTCATCGCCGTAGTTCTCACTGGGGTTCTTCCAGCATTGCTATTAAAACTTTTAACTGAGGGAAAATCATTCAAAGGCTTGGAAAGAGTAAGCTTGGAAAGAAAAATTCACTCTGCAGTGGAACAGTTCTACCCAGAGTCAAGAAATGAAAATACAATTATTAGTGACAGAGTGAATAAACAAAGTACAGATGTTGAACAAGTGTAAGCAGTATTTTGAAGGAAAAAAAGTAAGTCAAGCGCGCTTTGTGCTATGGTAATACTCTTGTATATACGCTTTAACTCAAGATGTAAATGAAACTTGCTCCGGTTTGGAATAGATATGATTATTACTACAAATTTCTTGGCTTAGCCTGAAAATTTGACCTAATTCCTAGTTGTAAGAATTAATATCCCTTCCCACCATACAAGGAGTTAAAGGGTTGAATTATTACACTGTATGATTCTTTTTATTAACTTTTTTATAACCTATAGGATTTTCCTCGTGTACATAACACACAATTGCCTACGATATTGAACTTTTAACCATTTTTCTCATCAAATTGGGTCATGTTTTCCCTTATTTTTTTCCTTGATTTTATTTTAGTTTATTTGACTAAATCATTTCACTGATCCCACTGATGGTTTTTCTCTTAAAATACCAACAGTACAGTTCAACATTAGAACTGTAGGATATTATTATGCCTTCACAAAAATATTAAGTAATCATATGTAAAAACTAATATACTGATATATTAAATTTCATTGTATCTGCTGCAATAAATGTAGAATTCGTAATGTTGAGGATAATAACAAATTTAATAGTAAGGGGACTACTTTACTTCAAGAGGTTAACTTAAATTAGATCTAAGAAGCATATTACCCTGTTAATACTATATGTATCATTGTAGTCAAGTTTTTTTGGAAATAAAGCAAGTATGGTACAATGTATGTGTTGACCAATTTTAATAACAGGATTGGTTTCATCTTGAACAGCCTGCAGGCTTAAATGTGCTGACCCTATCCCCAATCATCAGAATACTACCACAAAAAAAATATATAGAAACACAAAATTCAAAAATGTGTATATTCAATTCAAAAATTTAAACTTTGTCCAATTGGCATGGTTTGAACTTCACTTAAATTTAACTTCAACCCAACCTGGTTTCTAGCTCTGCCCTTGCTGAATCTGTTCAACATAATCTGGGCTGTGCATAGATGAGGCAAGAGTTAAACTCTTAATTTTCTTCTCTACTGTAGCTGCCAGACATTTCCTTCCAAATTAATTATGAAAATTTAGTGTTTAATCAACCTGATAAGTTTGAATATTCTCATTACCTGTTTGCTGGGTAATTTATGGATGTCGTAGAAAGAAGTAAGTGCATGTCAATTGCTTCTGGGAGTTTAAAGGTTATAGAAGAACGAAAGATGTAACTCAGGCTCTGAAAAAAAATAGTTATTGCCATCTCCAAGAAGAGTTGAACAAGCTTGGAAAGGCTTACACCATTTCTGTACTACCTTATAGCAAAGTGAGAGGATACAACTTTGTATCAAAAATACAGTTATGCCTACCATCTACACCGATTTAAAGAAATTGTGCATTATGTACAACAAAGAGAGAATGTTTTCAAAATGCTCTTCAAGCCAAACAAATTGTAATTTAAATTAGATGTACTTCTAGGGCTGAGTTCTCCTCTCCACCATAAAACTGACAGATGATTCCAAAATGCTGTGTCATTACTTCTCTGTACTTTCTCAAAAGCACATCATACCTTTATTACATGTATTCACTGTGATCCCCAGTGGTTGTTGTGTTCTCTGATTGTTTAACAAAGTGTTGACAAGACCTTAATTTGGGCCGTTTACCATTGCATCAAACACTGCAGAAGAGTCGATTGTATTGTGCTTTCTGTGAAATTCACCACACAACTGCAATGCAACTTTACTTTGGTGCCTGATCATGTGCTTGATACAGTTCACAGAACATAGACCAAATAGCACTCTGAGCACATATAGCAAACAGGAATCCAATCGAAAATTATGGAATGCAATTGCATGTTCTGACAGTCTCTCCACAGGTCAAGTTTCTGTACAATCATAGAATGAATTTAATTGGCAATACATGCTGTCAACTACTACTTCTGTCTCTTTTCCTTATGATTATTTCACAATACCTCTCAAGTCAAGAAAATAAATAAGTGTGTTTGATTTTGTTTATTCATCAGATGAGATCCATCTTCCCAAGCTTGCTGTACTTATAATCCTTTGACTCCCAAGATCTCATTAGTAATTCTCCTTAATGTCTGCCATATGGTTCTTCTGATGTTAGTTTGGAGAATTTGGTATTAGCTCAACTAATAATCCCCTAGTTATGATTTTTCTCTATTCTCATCATTTGTCTGCTTGATATTGTATTGATATTGTGAGGAGAAATTCTGTCTTGGTCACTCATGGATGGGAGTTAAAGGGTTAAAAAGCTGTACCTTATCTCTAATATTTTGCAAAGAGCATTTTTCCCCTGGCTTGCATGACCCCTTATAAATTAACTCATAGTGTTTTAATGTACAAACACATACATTTACATTCCCAGGCCAACCTAAGGCAGCATGAGATTATTTATATATATATTTTTTATATGATGTCTCATTCTTCCAATGTAGGCAACACTGTACCCTCCACTTCTCTTTCCCCATGTCACCAAAGTCTTTTTACCACTTTAATAGACCTACTAATAAACCCATAAATTGTACACATTTTTGTTTACAAAATCTAAGAGTGTTGTAAACATCATCTTCATTTTCCTTTAAAAGCTATGAGTCTAATCATAACCATTACCATTTCCTCAAATGTGATTGGTGTATTAGCTGCTTTATTTTTCACTAATCCTTCTGTACAGCTGTGATCGGACGGCGCAAATGGTAAATGGACAGTTGGCTGTAATCAGACACCTGTAATTGGACATTTGAGGCAGCCAAAAGTCCACTCAGCCAAATTCACTAATTACAGAATTAATCACAATAACCATAGCAACAACCACTCATCCTAAAATGAACTGAGGAATTTCTAAAATGGAGAAATTTTTTTTACTTTAGACATTGTCTCTACCAGAGATATTTGACCAAAATGTATTTGTTGTCTTTGGAAATTGTAATGGCTATGATTAATTGGGAACAGGACTTCTTGTCGTCCAATTCTGTCTGTAATCATACAAGTGACTGACAAATTGGACTCTCGCTTAGCAGTCATACAATTTTGTTAATCACTGGTACTGTGTGATTACAGATGGAATTACTCCACTTGGTCCTGTTACTATTATAAATCACTTAATTTGAACTTAGTAGGAATTGTTGTGCATTTGTATCTGAATTGAAAATTCTCAGACCTTTCTAGCTATGAAGTAACTTGACATTTTAGCCAAGGTAAGATCTCTTGATATACCGTAGTCTCCAACAAACAATTAGCAATTGCTATCGGTTGAGAGTAAACTCCTGAATTTTTGTATTTCAAAACTTGATCTTTTTAGGGGTCTTAAAATCATTATTAGTGGCAAAATTCCATATGCTTTCAAGAATTCCGTATTTTTTACAAACCCTCTTCAAACATACATAAGTATTGGATGAATTTTACAAGATTTTACACATAAGGCATTATCCATAAAGGATAGTAATATGAACCTACAACAACTTCACTGCACATGTGAAAGGCCTGTCCAGAAACCCCTCCCTGAACAATCATGCACTTGCAGTGTACATGCAAAGCAAAATGCTCACACTTGGGGTTTCAGTATTTTGTATATTTTCACATGGTTACTGTGTGACCATGCCACAGAGGTCAAGAAAAAACATAATGCAAATCCAGTAAAAATAACAGAGGTGTTAATGATGGCTATGTGTTTGGGAAAGTAAAAGAGGTGACACAATTCCAAACACCATCAAGAAAAGATCAGTCCTTTGCATTTTGTCAGACCGGCCTTGGTCTGAACTACTGTCACAATGCGTATTCATACTCATAAGTTCTGGTAGGACATGAACTGTGGCAACATAAAGAAATGTCCCCGCTGAAAACAGCATGGCTATTCCAGTCCCCTTCACACTGGATAGTACTTCTTTACTGCTCTGTTTGGAGTAAACGAGAAGAAAAACCATCACGAAATCATTCATCTCTTGGCTAATACAAATAAATGGCAGTAGATGGATCTTTATAGGGTGAAATGTAAACAATGGATCTCAGAAAATTGTTGTTAAAATAAATTAAATATGCTGTACCTCACTGACATCAAAACCGATTACAATTAAAAACAGTCTTAATCCTATACACCCTAACATCAGTGTAATATTCCCCAAACTGTTCTCTATACACATCCTTAGGTGCTCACAAAAAGGAATAATTAAACAATCTTAAACTTGAGCTTCTTAGAGTTCTCATCACTTCCTTTATTCTTGCGACCTGCACATGAGATTTAGGGGTGATATTGTAAGGAGAGATTAAATGCCAGTCACTCTTATGGGTCAAAGAGTCAATGGAATTTATATCTACTTCAGACTTTGCCATAAAATGATAAATTAGCATCATGATTATTACTTTATTACCTGACTAAGACCAAAGTAAGTCACCAAAGCCATCACTGGTGCTGCTGCAGCAAACACCATAAGATGTTTACGTATTCTAGTTCTAACAAGACCCTGAGATAGAAACCCAAAATAAATAACAAATAATAGAAATCTCTATAATGTGACCTATACAGCTCAATACTCAGAGAAAGAGAAAGCTCATGTGTGTAAAGCCAGACCATTTGACAGGAGCTAGTCTGGAATAAGTAGTCTTGTCAGGTAAGCACTTTTGAGGTTCTGTTGCTTTGTGCCTCGGAACAGGAGATCAAAGATGTAACAAAAAGTCTTCTTATAAAATTTTTTTGTACTTGTACAGCCTACCTCCCTCCCTACTATCAAATCATGCCTTAGTGATCATATGATTAACTACTAATCCACTGAGTTGGGTCACGCCAGATGAACTATCTCATGAGGCAGGGACCTTACTGCTCTCAGTTTGTGCCTCAAAATCTCAAGCCAAATACATGTATTTCAAGCCTGACAAAGCTCAGTCAATTAGTCAATTAGTGTGTAGTGTGTCTGAAGAGCCATGAAAAATACTTGAATTAAGACTTAAAATAAGGAATATGGTGTTTAAGTAGGCTGTAAATGCATATGCATTGTGCCTTACATTGCTATTGAATAATGCAATTCCACCAGTCAATAGGACTAAACATTGGATTTTAAAAAGGTTGAGAAATTGTTAGAATATTACAAGGTAAAAAACAATGATAGACTCACTTCATGAAGAAGAAATGTTGATAAACCAAATGCAGCTGGTGCCTAAAAAAAAGAAATAAATAGTATTACCAGAATTTAATAAACTATATGTACTGTAAATGAGCCTAGCAATGCTTCACTAATCCTTGAAGACTTCACTGAGCAGAAGACCAATGATTACTTTTCATAGTAAGCAAAACATTCCTTCCCCAAGAGGACACACAAATTCAATTTCACACCAGGCAAGATTACCAAAAAACAAAAACAAAACCCATACCTTATGCAACATGATAGCTACAAACACAATTACTTCAACTTCAGTTTTTGATGTTGTAACAGCTGCTCCAAGGGCAACACCATCAGCTACCGAAAAAAAAGGTCATCATCAAAGGTCCACTTGAGGCTATGTATTTATTTAACACTGCTGCTACAATTTCCTGTTCTTAATCATAGATTTCTTTTGGAGCAGTAAAGTAATGATAATGCCATACCCTACCATTGATACAGCTTAGTATGTTAGTCAACAAACAAGCTTCACTTATCATTTGTACAGTCATGTAAAAATGTAGATGGACTTAAAAGCTGGTGCCTTGAGGGTTGGTGCTTGAAAATTAGAATTTTTTTATTTAGCCACTTAGAATATAATAAATGAAAAAACCCTAAGCAAAACAAAACTAACACTTACCTGCCGCATGAACAACTAGACCTACTGTTGCTGTGATTTTACTGTGTCTTTGTCTGCCATTTCCTTCTGGATCTACACCACATTAAGATACAAATAATTTATTTGCAAATGTAAAAGAAAACAAGGCTGAATTTACACATAATTACATGCAAGTACAGAACCTTCATGGACATTCTGTTTGAGAAATAAAAAGCAAAGACCTTTCATAAAAGCTTACAACAATGCCACAGTTAAGGTACATGGAGTGACACTATTTTTTTCCGTTTCCTGATATACATTTAAAATGTATTGCATTACATCCCACACAAAATGCAGATTCTGAGAGGAATTTCATGCAAGTTACTCACACTTTCTTCTCAAATTCTGCATTTTTTTGGACCAGTATCCTAAATCAAGAGCTCTGACTAAATTCAAAAGTTACTGCTATGCACAGGCATGGTTTGCAAGGAAACATCCTCTCTTGTGTGTGTGATCATTCTGGTGAACACATGAAACTGTTTTTTGTTTTGTTTTTTTTTTTTTCTTTGCGAGAGACTCATTGAGGAGAATGCCACACACCTGATGTAGGGGGAGCATGTGCATGGCCCCCACTGATATGATCAATCAGCAGCATGAACACAAATCCACAGCATAAGGAAAGACCAATAAATACATCTGGTTCAACTTGAGAAATCTGGTTCTTTAGTACATCTACTTGTGTATGAGCTTCATCATGGTCTTCATGAGACTGAGTTGCATCTATGTTAGTACCTGCCAAGTGCTTGTGTGCACCATGGGTATGGGAAGAGTGTACTTTACAAAAAAAAATAGAAATGAAGTTAAAAGATTTAATACTATCTTTCATTCACAGACATAAATCTCACATAATTTCCATTTTAAATGCTCTTCAACAAAGTTGTTTTTGGAGTGCTTGCTTGCTTTAATAGTGCTCATGTTCCTTTTTTCCCTTCTTAGTTTTCTCTCTAAAGGGTGGAGCCTTAGTGATTATGGGATGCTGATAAAAGTAACCAAGCATCTATGGACACAAATACTGTTTCAAAGAAATAACATGCATATGTCATTTTAATTCAGGCTCTCTGAATTGATGAAAATAATTGTATCCCCACTCTTTGTCATTTATTTATATATATATATAAATTATTTTTTATTTTAAGCATAGCTGATACTGTTGTGTTTATTTTCATTGCAAATGACACCTACTATTAGAAATCCATGACCCAAATTAAACAATTTTCAGCTGTAAACCTTATTTCACATTTGCTTTACTCAGAGTAAATGCAAAGTACTGATGATGATGACAAGAAAATGTTCAAATTAAAATCCATTTTGGAGATGTATCAACCAAGCTGCATGTATATCACAACAATTTCAAATGGCAGTGACATTTTACAGAGCCATTTATTTGTTGCAGGGACAACTAAAAGCAACTACCTAGATTTTAAAAAGGACCTTTAGCTTAGAAAAAGAACAAAACAAAATAAATTCTAAACGCTTACAATGTAGATGAAAATGAGAGGGATCTTTACAGTTATGAACACTACTGAAGCAGTAGTGAAAATAAAGCCTAAAAAAACATTTTCAGGCTTTTTTTCACTACTGCAAACACACTGTTCAAATTTATGGCAATGATCATCCTTGTCTTCATTTATCAATCCTCAGTTCAAACACATGATATTCAGGTATTCACAATCATTAAGAACTTGGATAGAAAGAAAACCTCAAACCCAACAAAAAACACTTATTTACAAATTATAGAGAATCTCAAGACTCATTACAAAGGCTGGCAAGATTTAAAGAGTTATTAAAACTCACAATTTCTCAGGGAACCATTTATCACCCCTTTTAAAGGTATTGTGTAATCCTTCTTACAAAATACACAGAGATAAAGTTTCCTCACAGCCCCATACAACATTATGCTTTCAGTTCTTGGATAGAAAAAACATAGACAAAAACAACACATTGTCATTAAGAAAACAGATTTGTTTTACAATAGTATGGGGCTGTGCAGAAATTTTACTGACACAGATTTCTCACCATGTTGATCTGACTCATATAAAGCATGAACCCCTTCTGGAATAATAACAGCAAGTGCAGTTCCCACCAACAGACCTGCCCCTAGAATGCTGACCATCCTCAGTCTCTTCTGTTTAAAACAACAACAACAAAAATACTGTATGAGTGAGAAATAATAAATAAAACTTCAACACAAAAAAAACAAATCCTCGGAAATTATACAATGTTTTCTTTCATTGTGATTCGATTCTCTGTGTTGTTAAATTTTCTTTGCACTTCCAAGAACAAAGAGAAGTAAAATTGCACGGTGGGCAAAACTTATCTAAACAAATATCATTACTATATCGATCCGTCGGCGAGGAGTGAAAAAAAACGAGATTTCTGAGTTGCACACAAATTCTGGCCTTTTGATTCACAAAACTGGCTCACATCATACGGGTTAATCGAGCAATGGATCGAGTAAAAAGAACAACACTAAATTAATGATTAAGGTGATTTTATGCCGGAAAACAATCCTCTGAGCTTTACCTTTCTACAAGCTGACCAAGGCAAAAGATTAAAGCTTACACAAATAAATTTGCAATTAAATAAATTTTCAATCTGACGCTGATCTGAAACCGAAATTTATCGTTGTTATCTTTATGTACAGCGGTTAAAAGATTCATTCCAGCATTAGGACACGTTGTGGTTCTAGCTTAATGACATTAATGGTTCGCGATCGTAACTTTTGCGGCTTTTCCACCGAATATCAGCTCGCATAACCATTGGAATCTTTCCGATAACAAGCTTACCTCAGACATCGTGAAGGCCAGAGGAATTGCACCCGCTAAATAACATCCAACGAACATGCACAAACTCAAACCGAATAGCCTTGATACATCATCCATCTTGAGGCAGATAAATTATCTATCTTCTAGATGTGACATAGATATTGATATTTTAAAAGCCTCAAAATTTGTTACAATTTCTCAAAACTATAATTTCCGAACGTGTAGAGAATTTTTCCGAATCTTTATCTTTCTCTGGTGACACGCGTACGACAGGCAGGCTGTGTAACCGCGCATCTGTGTCAGCGGTACAACCGTATTCGATTGTTTTCCGAGAATCAATATTTCTCAGAAGTGAAAGACGAAATGAAATTTTCTGATGAGGCTGAGGATATCAAGTGGAAGGCACAGTAAGTTTGACGTAAGTTTCTATTTTCTTCGATTCTATATCTTTTCCATTCAAAAACTACCCGTGAAAGGCTTCAAAGTACGTAGCAAATGTTGTCAACGGATGTACTTCATATTTGAGAAGATCAGATACAGCATGAAGCATAGGTTCGCTTCGTCGCTAGGACTAAGCTCAAAAACCGTTGAACGTTTCAGGGATTTGTCGCCGTTTAAAAACTGCACGTAACTTATTCATGTTCGAATGTGGGAGTTTCAGAACAGCTGGAATTACTCAGTCAGTCTGAAGATTGAATTTTCCAGAGTGGTGTTTAGCTGAGAAAATTAATAACAATGACATTTTGACAAATTATGCACCAGCTCGTCTTCCATGGTTTGATCGGTTTGAAATGAAATCGTTGTAAATTTTTTTCCAAATATAGCCACTGTCTTTTAGAGTGCTCCTGCCGCTCAGAAACGTCTGAACGAGAATGACTTATCTAGACAATATTCCTGAAAAGCATCGAACCGTTCTAAATTTGAATCAACCAGTAATTCATAAACTTTCAGTGAAAATGTGTTGAATGCAATGATCCCATTTTTGAAAAGGATCTTTGATAACTAATAATCATACCAGGAAAGGGTATTCCCTTAGCTTCATATCAAGTAGTTTCGACAAGTTGCCAAATTATTCTGCCTTATGACGTTTTAGAACACTCTATCGAAGTACCACTTTGCAATGAAAGTTTCCACATTTTCATCTGACGAGGTCTAAGAGAGAATTCTTGTAGTTATCCTATTATGACCCTATTATCCAATAAACCCCCCCCCCCTCTTAAATGCTTACTGACAACGACGTGGTTTTTCTCACGTTTAGAGCAACAATGATTGTGTTGTTAGCGGTGTAGTTGGAGTATGTTCCAAACCTAACTGAAGCTGAATATCAAAGGTAAATTTTTTTTGGTCGTCAGCAAAATTGTTTTCATCCACTTAAAGTAATTTTCGCCCACAAGAGTGCTCGAACATTGGAAGAGGGTGTGAAAAGCCCTCATAAGTCAATCTCTTTGCTTATCAGTACCACACGTTAGTATCTGATGGTTAGTTTGGTTGTATTTTTTAATTACTAAGTTTCTCGAGAAATGCAATTTGAATTTGTTTAAGTTGTTCAATTGAGCGTTCGATTTACCTTTAAAGGAAAAGTGTGAGTCCACTGACAGACCCAGTGAAGTGATGCTTAAAAGATACAAAAATCTGCAAGGTAAAATCAGCTCCGTTTTTGAGTGACGATGGACGAGAAGATAGAACTTGAAACATTAGAGCTGCCAAACAGTGTTCTAATACATATTCAGCAGATTGTGAAGCAGAATTCAAGCCTCTCTAGTCAGTATGCTAAAGAGTTAGGAACAGTTCTGACAACCTTAGCGGTGCTGCCCTTCAAAGACAAAATACAACGGGAAAGTTTCTTTGATAAGATTCAGAGTTTGCAGGGTTACCACATCATTGAAATTTTCAATGTAGGAGTTACGCCACGTCAAAAATCTGCAAGAGAATCTTCAGTCCAAATTCTGCAAGATGTAGCGAAGCTTTTTGACATCTGTGCTTCTTTTTGCTACAGCAGAGAAGTTCCGATGCGAGTCTCTTTTGACCTTTACCTAAGTGCTTTGAAATTCTGTTTTCCCTCAGATAACGAGCAAAGCCTACCAATCACAGTTGTTTCCCTGTTGCTCGAACTTGTGCAGACTTTTCAGCACAGAAGAATTAAAGCTGAGCTGAAATCATCGGCGAATTTTGAAATGTTCGGCAGATTTGATGTTACTACCAGCGATTTCTTTGAAAAAATTCTTGATCTTTTTGAAAGGTGGCGACACGATGGCTACCTCTTAGAAATAATTAATCAAACGGTGAGGCTTGCTACTGCTGATGAAAAACTTGCAATTAAACTAGTCGAGGATGAGACGTTGCAGGGGAAACAAACACTTTCATCTTTTTTGTTGGTAAAGTGGATGAAGCTCCTGGAATTAGCAAATGTTAGCAGTGGTTTTGCCGTTGCTCTGGCAGAGATTGATCTCTCCGGAAAGAAAATCGAACCATTCTTTTCAGGTAGAGGCAGATTTCAATTATATGACTTTCCATACCAATCTACCATTTCCTATTACTATGGAGTTTTGAAAGAGATTCATATAAACAGTAGCGACTTCAGAATTCCTCACGACAAGGAAAGGATGAAAATATTCTTTAGTCATATAAGTCACTTTTGTGTCCATCCTAACATTGCTACCCAGTCACTCCAGTTACTAGGAGCGAAAAGTATTTCCAATGAAGTGTTGGGACACATTCTTGAAGTGCTCTTCGAAAAAAATGGAAAGGAAAGTGACTTCTTTGAGAAAGTGGTTGAACATGTTTTGAAAGTTTCAGTACTGCGTTCAGGTGGTGAACTGCTAAAGGAAATCCTGAATTTCTGGAGAGGTGCTTTTCCAGATGATCCAAATCACGACGCTCTTGTCTGTTTGTTGGCTCTTTTCGAGGAAGTCGAGGAAGACTCAAACAACGAAGGGGAAGTGCCCAAGAGGATATTTAATTTCCTAGAACGACTTCCTCGCCCTTTGTTACTCTTGTTGCCATTCTGGCAAAACATTTTTGGTTGTCTCATAAAGTTAATTCCAAAATCTATCGACTCGCATCCTGAGGTGTTAGCGCTGATTCAGAAAGCGGCTGCACTGGTGTTACAACTACCACAGGAACAGCGTCAATCACATTTCGCCATCAACAAACTAACAAATGTTAAATTTTTACAGTGGGTTTGTGAACAAGACTGCACAGAGGAAGCCAAGAGCGAGATGATTTTGCTTCTTTCTAGTATTTCTCACAGTGAAATAGCGAACCACAGATTGGCGACCACACTTGACACAAGTGTTTTAACATCCCTACATTTTTGTAAACAATTGTCATTTAGTTCCAAACTGAACGTCGTTCGTGAACTTACATCTTTAGACCACCGTTTACAGGAACTGGATCAGGAAGCTCTAAAACTATCTATTGAAAGAATCGCATCAAGTCCTGAATGCACAGATGATAATGTTTTTTGAAATTTTTGCTCTTGTTAAGAAATTTGTTGATGGAAAAGGGCCGAAGAACACAGCTGGAGTCTTTTTCGACACACTGTGCAATGGTTGTCGACAGTGCCAATCTCTAATGACAGAAGACTGAATGTGATCAGGAACCTGTGGAACAATGAATCTGAAACTGGTTTCAAGATTTCCAGGTTTATTTTGCTGCTCATAGAAACACAAGTAGTTGTCTTCAGAGAAGGAGGAGATGAGTACTTTGATCTTCTGGTTCGTGTAGTTCTTGAGACTTTTAAAGGCGATTTTGGTCTATGTGAACAGCTGTTTTGTGCCTTGGAACCTCATGTTCAGCTTCCCTCATCATTTGTTGTAAAAGTCTGGACTGCTGCTGCCGCTGGGTTGATATCCTTAGGGCTGTATAAAAAAGAAATTGACTCGTTTTGTTGCCTTCCTATTCTTCGAAGCACACAGGGATTTGATTCTTCATTTGAAACTTTGCAACTTCTGTTTCTAGCGAGATCAACAGCTCTTACCCTATCAAGGCGCAACTTACGCAGCAGCCCCGAAGCCTCTTCACAAGCCATGGAAAGAAACAACCTCCTCGGGAACTTTGTAAAGGCTGCTAGAACTATCCTTGTTTCGAAAACGTTGTCGACTATGCAAAAAATGCAATTGGTTAGGAAAGTTGGAGATGTTCTACTATGTACGACTCAAATTTCCACAGCTTTGATACCTGCCTTGGCGCGTCTAATCCCATACGTTTCTGGGACACAATGTAACCTTCCCGGTACTGACGGGATCCAAGCGAAGGTTGATCGTATCGTCGCCATATTGAGTAATCCGAAATTGGTAAATGAGCTCTCAAGAATTCCACAAGCTGTCAAAACTGATGATCTTTTCCAAGCCGTGTCCAAGAATATGTCAGATGTGTCTTCTGAACTGAAATCAGTGGAGATTCTCCTGTTTATTGCCTCCATGCAAGACTTAGGTGAAGAATTATTCATACATTTGTTACCTTTTGTTGAGGAAACCATTGACAAGTTCTCGTCAGTGGAGGACGTTCTAGAAGTTTTGAAAGAGCTGGTGCATTTGCTTCGTCAAGTTCAAACAGAACTGATTCCTTTTATGTTTATCAACTTCGCGTATTTCATCGAAAAACCAGTCGAAAAACAGAAGAGAGACAAATTTCTCTTAGAAATTGCCATGAAATGGAAAACTTCTCTCAGCTACGAGGTGCTTTCGTTTTTGGAAGTCCCGCGACTTCTTTGGAAAGCTTACAATACCACCAGCGCCCCATCAAAGAGAGGTGAGCTGATCGCTCGTTTGCAAGAAATAATCAGTAAAAACGAAACGTCACGGCACGAATGGGTGCTGAATGAAAACTACGGTCAGCTTCTTGTAGCGCTATTTGACAAGCTCTTCGGGCAACCAGAAACAGCCTTTATTAGTAGACGGATCGCTTGCTGTGAGCTGGAGTGGCTCATTTTCCATTCCCCACTGTCAAATAAGGATGCTGCTCTTGCATTCGATCTCAGCTATCTTTTCTCTCAAACGCAAGGCTATCGTCAAAGATCTTTATTTCTCTCCGATGTAAGGATTGAAGATGGGGTTTTTAAGTTTTACAGGGAAAAGACGGCGCCTGAAGTACTCGACGGAAGCACTTGTACAACATCCTTGATCGAAGAGGGATCAACGTCTTCGGCCATGAAGACACAAGAGGCTGTTCTTATTCCGGTTTTAATGGCCCAGAAATTAATTGTCTGTTTAACCCGACTACTTGGCCCAATGGAAAACCTCACTGAAAA